TCCCCCCAATATATTATACGTATTTTTTCTACCTTGTAGCGCAGGACCAGTGTTTGTTGCTTTCACTATAAATGCATTCATTATAAATGGAGATGAAGAGCAATGATGTGCTATTTTTGGAGCTAGCTTTGTCGGTACTGTTTGACTTGTACCCGACAGGTGTGGTCTCCCTGACAAAGCTAATTAAAATAAACCTAAAAGTAAATCAGTGAATACGTATTATCAATGTAAATGAAATACATTAGCAACGCAATTGATAAATTCATATAATACAATGAAAATGCACATTGGCCTCTGATTACATTCGTTCATTCAGATTTATTCGTTAAGGTCGTTTTTTCCTGTGCTGACCTGCAGGCGAATAAACAACCATAAGAGTACCAACGTCATTGTAATTCTGTATTTATTCGCTAGCTTTTGATTGAAAGGGAACCCTTTGCCAAATTGCTGGATTAAAGCACAGACTGTTCCTTCTAATATCCGCACAGAGCAGACCGAACGAAAACAGGAAGTGTAAATCGTGTATTGTTTCCAGGTAGCCAACTACTTTCAGCAAGCAAGTAAGCTATCAACTTGATTTTCAAGACATTTTGGCACAATGGGACTGTTCGGTCGAACACCGGAGAAACCGCCGAAAGAGCTGGTAAGCACCGATCACTCGAAGACCTGCTGACAGTCTTAAACAGCCTCTGATAAAAGTCAAACATGATAGCGCTAACTTTGCTAACGTTAGCATTCAGTAAACCACGGTGACAGCCTTTTCGCACACACTGATGGCTGAATGGCGAATACACGTCTGCTTGAATTCATGTGTAATTTGCGTTTGTGTCCCAATGAACGGACCCGCCGGTCATAAATAACGCGGTTTAGATGGAGCACAAGTTAGCCAAGCTAACATCGAAGCTGTCTGCTGTCAATCACCTCGATGTAAACATGTTGTACACTGGTCAAAAATAAATGCACGTTTATACATAACGTATTGAAGAAAGGAAGGGGCTACCAGGTCAACACCCCCTCAACCACGTCGGCACTTGAAACCCTGACACTGGCCTTAAAACTAATCAGAAACCTTAACCGTTGGCAACAACCCTAACCCTAGCTAGAAACCAGGATTTGAAACCTTGAATACAAATCCAAACCCTGGATAGCACTCTAGCCGTAGCTAGAAACCCTACTTCGATACCCTAATCCTGTCTTGAAACCTTATTTTGAAACTCCAACAAAACTCTGTAACCGATGCTCGATCCAACAATAAGATAAGAAAAGAGAAGAAAACCTTTATTTGTCTCACAATGGAGAAATTCCCAATTTACAGCAGCAAAAATTATGAAAGGGAGAAGTATAAAAACAAAAACTATATAAGTAAATATAAATGATAAAATATAAATATAAGCATATTCGGAATGGGTGAGTGGTGGTGAGTCTTGGTCTTGGGAAGTTTTTATTGGAAGTCAAGTTTAAAAAAAAATTTTTTTTTACAATAATATCTATACGCTCTTACTGGTCTAAACACTCAACTGTATTTATAGAGCACTTTAAAACTGCCATCGCTGTATACAAAGTGCTGTACATGGAGAAAATATATATAGAACAGTAAAACAAGAAATTAATAACGAAGACAGTAGAAAGCACAAAACAGTCAAACTAAGATCAAGTCTGAATCATGCCGAGTCAAATGCCAAAGAATACAAATGAGTTTGGAGACAAGTTTTTAAGATGGGCAGCGAGGGGGCTTGCCGAATGTTCCGTGGGATGTCATTCCAAAGAGAAACACGGGATTCCCATTAATATTGCGTTTGTTGAATATGAATAAGACGCAAAATCCACCCATTTTTATTCATCTCGGGAGGCCATTTTGCCACCTGCTGTCGACTGAAAATGACATCACAGTTGGTCGAGGGCTCAGGCTATGACCAATCACAGCTCACCTGTTGACTGGGTTTGGTCTTATGACGTTCTCAATCTGACTCCTTAGGCACAGCGATGTCATTTTTAGTCGACAGTAAGTGGGAAAATGGCAACCTCCTTAGATGGATGAAAACGGATGGGTTTTGCTGCTTAACTAATGTTCCACAAATGCAATATTAATCGAAATACAGTACCCTGTTCAGACTTGTCGGGTTACTGTAGGAGAACATAGAATTGTAAAGAAAATTTTGGGCTTGACTTCCATTTTTAAGTTGAACGGTTGTATAATTGTAATAAAAAGAATCCAATTTAAAGTGCTTACCTACTTTTGGCCCATCTAGATAACTGAGTGGACCCAGAAAATCAGGAAGGAATCAAGAGCAATCGACAGGCAAATTAGAGGTAAGTAAATGGCACCATTTACCCACTATTAATCCTTTATCACAACATCATTTTGATTGTTTACTTATCATCCAAATGTAGATGAACACATAGGGGAAAATTCTTGGTACCCATCGTTGAATGAAACACAAAAACACTGTGGTCACTGAAATAACGGAAAATCAGGAAGGAATCAAGAGCAATCGACAGGCAAATTAGAGGTAAGTAAATGTCCCCATTTACCCACTATTAATCCTGTATTACAACATTATTTTGATTGTTTACTTATCATCCAAATGTAGATGAACACATAGGGGAAAATTCTTGGTACCCATCGTTGAATGAAACACAAAAACACTGTGGTCACTGAAATAACGTGAATCTGACAAAAATATTAGCAAATCAAAATGCATTAAAACTACCAGTAAAAATCAGACATTAGTTTTGAATTGCGGTTCAACAGAATTATTAAAAAAAATAAAAAAAAAAATAAAAAACAACAACAACCATGAAACAGGCCTGGATAAAAATGTTGATGCCTTTGAAAAGATTGAAAATAATTTGACAATAGGGATGATGTTCAAACAAGGTATGTTCTCTATTTAGCGTCATAGATGTCTTCAAACATCTGGTCAGTCGGCCTATTTAAAGGGTGACAATTAGTCACTGTGCTGTTTTGTGACACGGTGTGTACCACGCTAAACATGGACCAGAAGAAGCGAAGGAGAGACGTGTCTCAGGAGATTAGAAAGAAAATTATAAACACGCAAGAGCAAAACATTGGACTCTTCCTTAAGCTCGTATCTCACTGAGCAGTGACTGTTTGCAAGTGTGTGTGTGCATAGCGAATGTTGCTGCTATTTTATTAATTTTGAGCATTTTTGGAAGGAACCGAAGCATGCCTTTTGGAGAAAACACCCTTGAAACATGAGATGACCCGATCAGTTCGCCTATGTAGACTAAGCCAAATAAGCTCTGAGTGGTGCAGAAATCTCTTTGAAAGTGACAAAAATCGTTTGATTAGAATGTGAGATTTTCATTGAAACATTTTCTTAAAATGTTTTGTCAGGGTCCCAAGTTATTTCGGTGACCACTGTGGGTTTTTCTTTCATGAACAGGGGTACCAACAATGTGGTCCACATTTGCAATCACATGGATAATTTGTCATCTCACTATGAAACGACAAGCAAATGAGGTCATGATAGTTTTTTTTTTTCTTGCTTGACCCAAAATTTAATTGGACGATTTGCAGAGTCACACTAATATATGATGATCTAGTTCAACGACTTAAAAATTAGAGTTAACACACATCTCACATCTCATGTTGTTTACAGTGGGTGTTAATAAGTCACCAGTCAGTGCATGTCGATGACGTGACGCTTGCATTCATGGGATACATGGATATGTTTTACACTGTATTCATATTGGCAGATTTTAATCCACAATCCGAAGTGACCTGATTTCAATCGGAAGATATCTGATTCCATTTACGCTGCCATTTGGGTTTTTTTTTTGTACCAGATATTCAAAGGGAACAGGAAAAAGTGAAGAAATCCATCAAAGATGCCGCCAAAAAGGGTCAGAGGGATGTTTGTGTGATTCTCGCAAAGGAGATGGTTCAGTCAAAACGAGCCGTCACAAAGCTCTACTCCTCCAAAGCCCACCTCAACTCGGTGACACTCAGCATGAAGAATCAGCTTTGTGAGTTGTGCATCGCAGTTCAACTTTATTTAGATTGTATTAATGACTGCAACTAGGATTTATTGTCTTTTTTTATTTTATTTTTTTTAATAGCTTTACTCCGTGTGGCCGGTTCCGTGCAGAAGAGCACAGAGGTGATGAAAGCCATGCAGAATCTGATCAAAGTCCCGGAGATACAGGCCACCATGCGAGAGCTATCAAAGGAGATGATGAAGGTCTGCAGCCATATTTACTAAGACATGCAGTGGCTTGGCAAACTACCGGTATTCAGACGTTGAACCTTATGACCTTTTTGCCACGTTTAGCATTTCAAACATAAAGACATCCATCCATCCGTTATCCGATCCGCTTTATCCTCACAAGGGTGACAGGCATGCTGGGGCCTATCTCAGCTGTCTTTGGGCAGTAGTACACCCATAACTCATTCACTCCCAAAGACGTTTTTATATGTCTTTTCAGACTTAGTTTAGAATTGGCTGGTACTGAATGAGTTGGAGAACATTGAAACTCCACACAGGAAGACCGGGGCCGGAATCGAACCCTTGACCTCTGCACTGTGAGATCGATATGCTAACCAGTCGACCTCTGTGCCGCCACATGAAGATATAAACTTGGAATTTTTGTGAAGCATCAACACCAAGTAGGAAACAGTCATAAAGTGGAATGACATTCACATGATATTTTACCAGCGCATGTGCTAACCAGTGGACCACCGTGCCACTTCGAATAGACTCCCTTGTCTAAATTCTTTGCCTACTTGTTCTCCACTTGATAAACACATTTCCCCAAAAAGCATAGCTCCACCCATACACAAGCATTTTTACAAGATGCCTTAGCAAATAAATACCCAGTACCTTCTTGCGCCGCATGATGACATTCTTGAAAGCGTCACGAGCATCATAAAAACCGAGGGCCCTCTTGTATTTGAGTTGAACTCCCTCTTGATGAGTGAGATGTTTGCCAAATAGAACGGCGTATGTCTTACGTTTCCAGGCCGGGATCATTGAAGAAATGCTGGAGGACACATTTGAGAGCATGGAAGATGGAGAGGACATGGAAGAAGCGGTTGAGGAGGAAGTTGACAAGATTCTCTTTGAGATCACAGCAGGTGATGACATGTCTGGGCTTCCCATGTACTTTTTGGGAGTAGAAGCGTGACACACGCGTGACTAAGGTCTGATTTACAAACATAGTTCAAGTGACAGGTGTGCTAGGTTAGTGCTAATCAGTAAAGTAAAATGTCATAGTGGTTGATAGCGCAGTGTTGCGGTAATCTTAAACGTTCAAAAACTGCGAGTGTAGCACACATGCAGGAACAACACCTACAAATAGACCATACAACAATACTCACATGCATACATTCTCTGTTGTGGGAACGACTTTTACATCCGTGTTATGACAAGGATGCAAACCATAACAGATATGTAACACTTGAATTATACATGGAAATGAAAAAAAATGCATATGGTTATTAAATCAGATAATTCAAATAGTTCAACTGGAAATAAAAAGTGAAATAAAAGGACCGGTGAAAGTTCTAATCGGGACTTTTCAATGGACTTCTACCTGAAGTGTCAATCCAACCGAAATCTTCTGTTTGGATGCTTTGCTTTGTGTCTAGGTGCCCTCGGCAAAGCGCCCAGCAAAGTCACAGACGCCCTTCCCGAGATGCCCTCGGGAGCCACCGCGGCCTCAGATGATGAGTCCGAGGAAGACATTGAAGAAATGCAGTCCAGACTGGCCGCTCTTCGGAGCTAAGTTGGTGTTTGTTTGAGGCAATACAGGTTAAGCGGTCGAAGTACTGAACTCCTCTCCGCGACTTGCTCTAATTTCGCTTGCGCGCAATCATCTGGGGTTGTATTTGGGCTTGGGGTCATTCATGTCACTTTTAATTTCGTCAAGATTTTTTTTTTTTTTTTTTTTAATCAGTGGTAATGCTTGGTACGTTTACTATCCAAAGTCAAATAGAAGGTTTGAGAAAGTGTAAATATTGTAAGTATGAAAAGCCTACTGTGCCTATAGTGCTTCATCTTACTCCTCTTGTGTCTTATGTTATGGACACCACGGTATTAAAGGCTATTTATGTTTCCAACTCCCCATTGACAAAATGGTCACTAAAGTGTTCGCATCACTAATAAGTCCTTGTTAACTAAAACACTACAGTTGTTGTGTGCATTTCTTTTGAAAAAGACTTCTGTACAGTCGGTGTGTCTTCTTTACGATATGAATTATGCTTACGTCATCAAAATGCACGCATACTCCCCCCAACTAATTTGTTGTGTGTTAACACTCCACGTGTCCAAAGTTTGTGTCATGAATGAGTAAGAAACAAAGTGCAAAGGCACGGCAATGAGTGGCTGGTTAGTTGTGAGAATCTGTATTGTGGAAGTGCAATTGGTGTATATTTTTTCTATGTACATGGGGTGAAATGATAAAGAAATAAACTTTTAAGGACACCGGGACTGTTTGTGAAATGAGCAATATTTTATCCCTTTTCTATTTCCTCAATGACAATTTACAGCAGAACATTTTGCAGCTCACATACAGTAGAAAGTACAGATTTGAGAGAGTGTCTTACACAACTTAACCTACGTTGTATTGTGTTTTGCTTCAAACAGCAACAAGTAAATGCGATCAAATTTCATTTTGGGTGACCCCGCGTTTTTAAAGCTAATCCTTTGCCTCTTATTGTGGACAGGATACTCTTTCCAGTCGCTGCTTTTGTTTGACTGCAACAAAACCTTGCTTGTTTTGTGGCTCCTCCTGTCAGCTGGAGGGCCATCAGAGCAATGGCAGCAACTCTCAAAGCATACTGTAGGGACAGAAGCACCATTTAAAAAAAAAATGCTTGAAGAATGATGTGTTTTGAACACGCGTGGACATATGAGTGCAGTATACTACAAAATGAAAAATGCAATGTAGTTGCTAGTGGTTTATAATTGCACCTGCTCGGGCTAAGAATTTTTTTCCAAACTATATTCAAAGAACTATTATTGTAGTTTTATGGGGTGTAAAAAAAAACCAACTACAGTCTTGTAGTTTGCAGTGCTGTAAAAACAAGTCACATTAATTACAGAACTTTAATTGTAGTTTGCAATGACTTCTCATTACATCCGATCAAGTTAGGAGGTGTTTGTAATATTTTGGTTACCGTCTTCAGCTAAAACGTGCAATGAAAATACGAAAATGGCATTCACTCTCTGAGAAGCCGTCCCTCATGTTGTCGTGCGTTGCAGCAGTGCCTCTTGTGGCCACTTGTGGGACTGCGTGACGTCGCGTCGTTGTGTGCTGGTGCTGGGCGCCTTGACTCGCCTGTCACCATCAGCAGCGGCAGGAGGAAACTCCTCCTAAGCAGCAAGACAGCCCGTTCTGTCGCCTCTCCGGCGCAATGGTCTCTTGGATCATCTCCAGACTTGTGGTGTGAGTCATTAATTTTTTTATACATCATTTCACACGTGAGCGTGACGATAATTCCGAAATTGCTTCATTTTGTCGCCTTTTTTGAAGGCGTCGCTCGATAGGCGCTTTTCTCCCTCGATTCTTGCAGCACAGGACGGCATGTATTGTGTGTGTGACAAAATGTAACACAAATGTCACTAGATAGTATGAACCAGCTTGAAAGGAATGCTTGAGGTGGGCCTGTTTATTTTTACCAGGCGTTTAGTTGCTGCCTAACGCTCTGCCTGACGCGTTTTGTTATTGTTATCATTAGGATAGATACATTTGCCAAATAAGCGAAGCACCAATGTGACTGGGCGGTTACTCAATAACAATGTGGAGATGTCCTACATTGGAGGGTGGGAAAACAAAACAAAAAAAAGGGATGGGTCAGCCTTCTCAGGTTACAAGGAGTCACGTTATTGAAAACACGAAAAGAGTAAAAAAAAACCCCAGACATGTTCATAAAAATACACACCCTTCCCTACCCCCCACAAATTAAATAAGATCTCTATTCTTACAAGTGAAGCTTATTTTTTTCCTGCTGTGAGTGAGCGCCATGACACAGTGCAGCCTGGGCCAAGCTTGACAAAACAAGCCAATTAAATTTACATGAGTTTTCATTCACACTGGCCTAGCCCAAACCAAAGCTCATGTGTATGTACAGTACACGAAATGGTGATCATTCCATTTGTGCTGAGTGCATTCGGGTCCGTAACTTGATCGGCTCGCCCTCAGCTGTTGGCCGGGCCACGGTGCTCCTTTAGCCGGGCCGCAGGTGTCTGCACGCAGGCTAACTTTGTCTCACTCGGATGGGTGAGGGGGGAGAAAAAAAACCAACACGGCCTACAGAAGTCTGACTAATATTTGGACCTGTATCATAAGCAGTGATAGCTAAGGTGACATCATTGTGACATCATTATGACATAGGGACATTGTCATGAATCATGCCTCATAAAGTCAAAATATTGAGATGTCAATGTAAATAGTTCCTCTTTAGTTTACATTTTTACTCCGGTGGGATAAACACTAACTACAATGTTCACCTTTGCACAGTTAATACATGTTTTGTTCACGTATGTGGTTTCATATCTTATTAATATTGTCCGAATGTAAATTTCCCACATTAACATCGATAACATGTTCTTTCAGACTTGTGTTTGGTACGCTATATCCCGCCTACTCATCTTATAAAGCCGTCAAGTCCAAAGACGTAAAGGAATATGTAAGTGCACTTTGGTTTTACTTGGTAATCCCTCACTTATTTAGAGTTCAGTATACACAGATTCACCGATGTTTTTGTGCTCTTTCTTAAATGCCCTAAAATGCCACATGATGGCACCAAAGACTTGTCTCATAGGAAAGTAATAATAATGATAATAAAACATGTATTTATTGTAAGTAGTTATACTAGTAGCATTATTCAAAGTAGTACATTGGTGTCAAGAAACTTATGTTTAAATCCTGTCACTTGATTGAGACAAGCTTCATATGCTGAATCTATAGGACAAAGTATCAATGTGTTTTTTTGTTTTTTTTTTTCAAATCCCCCTAGTGACTGTAAATGTGAGCGTGAGTATTGATATCCACGTGAGCTCTGGTTAGCTTGGACGTACCCCATCCCTAAATGAGATATGCAGTACAGTTAAGAATTTTTTTCCCAAGAGAGTCTATCTGTGATCACGTAATTTCATGTATTGGGATATTATCATTATTGTTACGATTGTATTATTGTCCAAGTTTTTTGATATGTGTTCTGTTGTACTATTGTTATTTTATGTTAAATGTTCTGTTAAGTACTTTGTTACAGCTGTATCTATCTATCTATCTATCTATCTATCTATCTATCTATCTATCTATCTATCTATCTATCTATCTATCTATCTATCTATCGTTTCTCCTGTGTTGTAGGTGAAATGGATGATGTACTGGATAATATTTGCCCTATTTACATCAGTGGAAGTATTCACTGATATGTTTCTTTGCTGGTAAGTAGTTTTATGCTGGAATTTAAATCAGCGCATGTTCATTGGTTACACCTACGGTCTAATGTTAATAGTGTGGCTTGATGCCCGCCCAACCACATTTATAAACATGCTGTTAAATGAATACAATTGAAAGCGATTGTGACCAATAAGCCCCTTGACTGTGTGTTTGTTTGTCATCACCTTCACTCCAGGCTTCCTTTCTACTATGAACTGAAGATAGCCTTTGTGGTGTGGTTATTGTCGCCTTACACTAAAGGCTCCAGTGTGCTCTACAGGAAGTTTGTCCATCCCACTCTTTCCTCTAAAGAAAAGGTGAACATTCCCCACTTATTTTGCCACTTCCTCTTGTGCAGTCCAAGCAAATGCAAAGGGGGAAAACACCATCCTTGGATTTAATATGTGCTGTTGATTCCCATCATCAATAACATTTGAGCTTCTCGGCTGTGCAGGGAACAAGTATGGCTTTGTGCCATTTCGTGTTCGCTGTGTTGCTATGTGTCCTTTTCCCTGCATCTGTGATGGAATGAATTGTGTGTGATCAGAGTTGACTCAGTCACGCAGCTACAGTCGTCACGCAAAAGAGCCACAACATGTTTTTTGTTTTGTGGCTTGTCCCAGGATATTGATGACTATATCTGCCAAGCCAAGGACAAAAGCTATGACACACTGGTGCATTATGGGAGAAAGGGGCTAAATGTGGCCGCCACCGCTGCTGTCATGGCTGCAACAAAGGTATTGCCGACTCTGAACATTTTTCTTCTGTTTTGTTCTGACCTAAGAAGTTAAGTCAGGGTATCACCCATTTGCGGTGGGAGAAAATATTGGTATTGCTGATATCTCTTACAACACTGATACACCTGAATCCAGTATTAATATTGTTGTCTGTATTGCAGTGTGTCGCACACTTTATGTCAGGGGTGGACAAACATTTGGTCTTTAAAACAGACAGGGCCAGGTTATTTGTAGGGGAAACAGTCACGAGTAATCAATTTGTTGATTCTTTTGTTGCTGAATAGGATAAAAAAAAAATCATTCTTTTCTTTTACTGTCATTGCAGAAAATGCACAAATATAAATTAGCTATGATTCAGTCCCTGATTTGGTCCGTATCATGTCAGAAAATATTGATTGTTGCTCCCCAAAGTAAAGGCAAATGTTGTTGTTGTTTTTTTTTTTTTTCCTAACTCAGAGATAATCAGTCTGCATTAATGTAGGACTACAGAAATTGGAGAATATGTAGTGTTGAGAAACTGAAATTTTGAGCATTTAGTTGAATTCAAGGGGAATCTAAAGGATTAATCGAGTACTGTATACTGGTCAATGACAAATCGTAATCAGAGACGGCTTTATGTGCCCCTAAATGTATATTTGTTGCTTATTTAAAATATGTCTTTACATTTTTTCGGCACATTAAGTTTTTGAGATTTAAAAAAAATGTTTTTTTAGTCGAACCAATTAAAAGCTTGCTCAATGTGGATTTTACCATGCTTGAGCAATTCTACTTGTTGCTGAATCTAACCCCTAATTCATAAATATTGCTTATTATTATTATTATTATTATTGTTATTATTATTATTATTAAAAACCTGATTTAGAGCACTTTCCTCCTTTGGGTTGTGAGTGTGATGGAGCCTGGAGACAAATGTTTGAGTCTTCAATAAACCTAACATGCATGTTTTTGGAATGTTAAAGGAGCCCAGAATACATGAAGATTAACCACGCAAGCACATGGAACACCATATTAACACCACAGGAGGGCCAGAGTCAAGATTTGGTTTTGAATTTAGAACCAGGGTTGTAATCGTTTTGGATTTTCATTAAAGTTAGTTTTTAATTTGTTTTGACCTTTGATTTTTAAATTCAGTCGGTTTTAATTCGTTTTGAGAGCAGGTTTGTTTGTTTTTGTTAATTGTTTTTTTTTTCTGTCACGCTCTGTTTTAGTTTAGTTTTTACTCATTTTAGTTTTAGTGTTAGTTTTTTTTTTTTAAATATGTGGTGTATTTGTCGAGTGCAAGGTAAAAGAAAAGCCCACTAAGTATTGTGCAATAAAGTAAACTACAATTCTCAAACAACTGTTTGACCTTCCTTCCTCTGAACAGACGTTTAGCAATATTAATAAGAACTAATGACGTTTTCGCTGTAATTATTGGTACTTTTATAGTTTCCGTTAGTTTTCTTTTACTTTTTTTTTTTTGTTCATAGAAATACTTTTTTTCAGTTTGTTTGTTTCTACTTGGTATGCCAAGGGTAGCACAACCCGTTATTAGGGTCAGGGGGCAATTACTTTTTCACATAGGGACAAGTAGTTTAGGATTTTTATTTACCTGTATTTTTTCTGTGCCTTTATAAATTCAGTTGGCGTTTTGAAACTGCATTTTGCATTTCCTTGGGTAGTCTCTGTGAAAGTAATCCTTTCATGCACCCTGTAACCTGATAACATGACAAGCTGTCCACTGTAGTGACCGCTGTCCCTGAAAGGGTTCAAGTTGGTTTGATGAACTGAAACCATAGTATGTGAGAAATATGCAAAGGACACAGAAATCAGGAAGGGGGGACAAATACTTTAAATAATTTGGATTGATTTTCCTTTAAATTGTATGGCTGTTTGAGCTCAACTTTCAAGGTTCCACTGGATTTTCCTGGCAACTCAAATAACAAAATGCACACACATTTTGGATAGACGCACACATGATGTTTGTGTCTCCAACTACTTCCTATTGAATAGCTGCTCTGTCGTGTCTCAGGGCCAAGGAGTTCTGACGGACAGATTGAGGAGCTTCAGCATGCAAGATCTGGCGGGGTACGACTCGGACACCACCAGCTCTACCCAGCCAACGAGAACGGAAGCAGCAGCGCAGCACCGGGCTCGCACCATGATGCGGAGCAAGTCTGAAAGCTACAACAAAGGTGAGCGCTGACACTTTGATCACTAAATGTCACTAAATGCAAGGGTGGGTAACCTGTGGCCTGTGGGACTTTCATGGCCCGAAAGAGCATTTCAACTAATTCTGCAAACTAATAAACCTTTAGAGGAACTGATATTAAAATCTCAGAAAACATGCAACCCATTGATGCACATAATATTAAGCCTATGTTCCATTGTTACGTCATATTCTTTTTCATAAGTTTTATATGGTCTTTGGAGGACTTCAAAATATTTAAGCTGAAATGGCCCCTGACAGGAATATGATTCCCCACGCCTAAAGAAACATTAAAATAGTAAAGAATGTAATATAGAGAATCTCCCTTTATCACGGGGGCCTATCCACAACAGGTGAAAATCTGCAATATCAAAAGCAACCTTTTTATTTTTGTAGTTTATTTATTTCTTCAAGCACACAAACCTATTAAAACACCTTAGAAATTAAAAAAAAGACTAACATAACTAAAACTAGCATCCTGTGCGGGCTAATGTAAATTAGCATCGATTTTAAAGGTTTATTATTATTTTATTTTATCAGGTGGAATCCTCATACCTCCAAAATCCTCATTCAGGAAAGCATTTTTCCAACCATTGACTTTGCATCATCAAAGGAGCAAGCCTATTCAAACACTTTAGATTGGTCAATAATTCGTAAAAGTAACACACATCTGTGTGTGTGTGTGTGTGTGTGTGTGTGTCCTGACCAATAGTCTACATTTGTGCAAAAATATTACATTTAGCAGAAATTCACATTGGAAGCGTTTCGGCCGATGTCAGCGATGAGCGGGATATAGTCTGCTTCTTCTTGTTTTCCTTCTACTATTAGGCTATGCTCCATGTCGTCCAGTAGACCTCAGTGCTGCCCGGTATGTTGCCGAACAACTCTTTGGACTTACCTTTCTGTATACTGTGAAAGCCATCCACACAGTCACCTACAAATTGGTGATATAGCAGAGGCACGAAACGTGAACCGCAAAGTAGCAGGGCTATACTGTGTTGTGTGCCTGCTCTATGATAGCATGAACGGTCCCAAAACAATGTGCCGAATTATCATGTCCATTTCTTGATCAAAGAGGCTGGCTGAAGGCCGTAGATATTGTTCAATTCACTCTTCTTTTCTGAGTTCCCCCTTTACGATTCCCCTGACCCCCCCCCCCCCGTCCTATCTTCCTGATTGGAATGGACATAGCTGCTTTTTACACCTTGGCAGAACATTAGCTACCTCATCGTAAAGGTCCTACACTCTCACCTACCGGTGTAGACTTTGTATGTTCTCTTCTCCCTTGGCTCGTATGTTTTGCTTTTTTTCCCCTCCGGGCTAAAATTAGCTCCTTCTTGACATACAAAGTTTTCTCTCTCATCTGAGATGTATCACTTCAACATACTGTTTAAACTTGACACCCATGACTACTTTCAGAGCTTTAGCTTTATTTTTGTTATTGTAGCAAACCTGCGGTTGTGTTACGCGGATTGCTGGAAGAGTTTTATAACATCTGGCTTGCCTTTGTTATGTCGTTTAGGCTGTTTGTAAGCGAGCGTTCCAAATGCCCTTTCGGATGGACGTGCGAGCACTTTTGCTTTTCGTGTCGTTGAGGGTAGCGTATTTTGCGAGTGACTGCACTATCGCTCTCATTTTTAGTTAAATATTTTTTAACGCTTGACGCAGCGCTGCTAGTTTTCTGCGCCAACCGGGCTGACCAGCTGTTGAATGTACGTTGTGGTTGTCTTCTGGCATCTCTAGTTGTCTTTGTATTGCTCTTGTGCTTATTTACATGAAATGAAGCGAGCGTACAAATTGGAGACATTTTGGAAAATTGTTTATTTTCATGAAGCATTTCAGTGTCCATGCTGACAGGATTTTTTTATGGGATTAGCTGTCCATAAGAAAGTTTCTTCCACACGTCCTCAAAGGCTATTCTTAGTTGGCCATAAATGTCAGCAGTGGGTTCACTGCTTGAGCTCAATGTCATGCATATTGAAAAACATTTACACCGCTGCATATTGATATTCACTTGTCATAACTTTCTATCTGGCCTCTGCTTTGTTGTTTCGACGGAATATAATATCCATTTTTGTCCCTAATGGCCAAAATTAGATCAAGGAATGACACACATCAGTATCCTTAGTCAGCCAGTCACGTGAAAGTCGATGGCAGATTGATGATTCACTTCCGCCCCTTTTATAGATTTTGACATGACTGACTATGAGGTGTTGGCACTAGACCAAAGGGTACCAGAGGAGTCGCTGACACCTGATTCCTCGCCACCCTCCACGCCTTCTCCCACTCCTCCAGCTCTGGGGGAGCCAGGGGAGGGAACGAAGGTTGCACGGGGGGCTCAGCTTGGGTTCGTGAAAAGAAAAGCTCCCGAGGTACCCAACTCTGCCTGGTTGCGATGAGTGCTCAGCTGCTGCCTGCCTCTAATATCTCCATGTGTTCCATTTAAATCCGCTTTTACACCTGGTAAAGGGATTTCCGATTTTGTTCAATATGTGCTGACCTCAACCAGTGGCTCTTTTTTTAATTGTTTTAAAAGGCCGTCACTAAATGATCTTCATGCTTGAGTGCACCCGCAGCTGTTGACACTTTTATCGCTCGTAGTGAATGAGGTCAAATTGGCCTTGTTGTGTGTCTGCCTTTGGAAATGTGGCATGTCAAGGCCAAATAGAAAGAATGCGTTGATGTGGATCGACTAAGCGCATATCACCACTTCATTGCTTCAAGAATTGTGTGTTTTTTTTAACAATTCTACAGAATGAATCACCTGTAAAGCAAACCACTTGCAAGTGTCTTCGCTTGTGAAAGATTCAAGAGTCATCTGGCAATTTATAAAAAAAAATAAAATTAACCCTATCATTTAGAACAGGGTGCCCATTAGGTAGATCATCAGCCACTCAAGAAGGGAATGTCTGAAAATACAACTTCAGTTGAAGAGGGAATTTGCGTGTTCTTAATTTTGGGAGAAAACACATTGACGAATGCTACTAGTGTGTGTGTATATAGGATTTTCTAAAAAGCAATTTTACCCATCAGAACTATTGATGAACATGTGTGCCATTTCAGGAAATGTGGGCCCTTAAGTTTATTTAATGCTCTTTTTGGAAATGTACATCACTACATGGTAAGAATAAGCTTTTTGAGCTGAAGTGAAAACAATACTGTGAAACGAAAAAGAACCATAAAGTGATCATGTGGTTGATGTTCAAACTTTCTCCCCGTAGCCTCCTCTTAGAGTCTTAAGGCCTCTCACGAGATCCAGGAGCGCTGTGTGTTCCAACAGCGAAGCCATGTGAAGCGCGTGGGCCGTGCACATCGACGCCTCCAGCTGCCTCCAGCTTGCTGCAACACGTAATTTTTCTTTCTTTTTATTTTATTTTTTTTAAAGGAACCTTACGTGTCTGAAGCGGCACTGCTTTGGAATTCTGTATTACCAAAGTGACCTGTGACAACCTGTCTATATGATAGTTATGATACAGCAAGGACAAGTGAGAGCTCCGTGCTGATCAGATGTGCTTGACGTAATTATATGTACAGTGTTTTGTTTTTGTTTTGTTTTTTTCCCTCTGTCAGGTTTGGTGGGACACTTGCATGTGTGTCTGGCCATGCATTTTTAGTTGTTTGTGCTACAGAATGTACTGCCGCTCGCTTGTCAACAGTATGTGTAAGTCGCCATGGTTCAAATGCATGGCTGCTGTTGTAAACGTTTTAAAAGAGTGGGGAAAGAAATCTGATGTGTATCCTAAAAACAGCAGGTCTTGAAAAGTCAAGCAGCTGTGGCTGAATTATTTACCTCGAGTAAAGCCTTAATGAGGGACATTAAGTATCACATCTCACACGGCACTAAGTACAGTTAGGACCACAAGTATTAGGACAATTCTCACCGTGATTGAAGTGTCTGAAGGCTTTGTCGAGTCAGATTTTTAGATTTGACAGGTTTCAGGAAAATATGGTATTTACCATTAAGGAATTCGCCCTTCTATGCAGGGAAAACAAAAGTGATTGTCCTAATATTTCTGGACCTAACTATTTCTAAATATTGTGTTCATATTAATTTATTTTGCACCATGTAGTGAATATCAATCACTGCCTCCAATTGTAGATATTGACCCTACAAAAGTATCATGCATAGATGCATCTTAATAAATTAGAATATTGTTTAAAAAAATAATCTCTGGTTACATTCAAAGCCACATACACTTTTTGCTATTTCGTTTCAAGTATCAATAGGCAAATATCAGACCATTCGAATTTGATAGGCTTTGCAAATTTATCCAGAGGGCTGCACCGGAACCCTGCAGCAACAAAACCTCGATTCAGTGGATGTTACGGGATAGAAAAAGCTTCACCTGTACCAACTTCAGGCTGTTGAGCATCATAATCTTCCGCTTGAACGCCGCTCCAATGTCAAATGAGGGGGGATCGTTGCCGACAAAAGCTGCAATGCCTAAGATGTTAAACGCCGATGGCCTCGCATCTATCCGGATGATTCCTGAAACTAAATAGGTATTACTTTATATCAGGTGGCCATCTGAATTGTTTTCAATGAATCTACGACTACTTTTCTGATATTGTGATTTATTGAGATGCACCTGTACGATATCTTCTGAGCAGCCCAGCGTCTTCCGTAGTGAGCGTCATGGTTGTAATAGTCACTTTCACAGAACGGTTCATGATTTTGACAATCTACGGCAACCGTTTTTTTTTTTTTTGGTCCTTTATTAGCCCATATGATGCAAACCAAAATATCACATATGTTATAGCGTAAAGGTTGTATTTTTAATTCCTGAGCATCTCAACTGTGGAATTCTTGAGGGAGATTTTGCAGATTCCCAAAGTCATCATATATCCTGTGTGTTTTATGAGGGGCTGCCCGGGACAGAATTCAGTATTACTGCTCACATTATTAAAAGCTCACACAAGTGAAATTCTTAAACCACCTGTTCATTATATTAGTGCGCTCTAAGAAATTCTACTGAAATAAGCATTTCAAGAGTGTGAGAGAGCATTTCACGTATGCCGGAGGAAATCTTGAATTATGACCCCGTTGGGCCCTTAAAAGTGTTTTGTCTTCATTTTCTTCACGTTACTGAGCCTTGAGCAGCATTTGAGTATCACTCGGTTTTTGATGGGTGTGCACTGTAGTGTCATCACAGCATCATTTATGCTGAAACAATTAGCTTCTCAGGTACAATTGTCTTGTTTACACGCTGTTAACAAGGATGTTGTAGATACACTCGCTGTACACATTGAGTATCCTTTTAATGGATGTGATTTTAAAAAAAAGATGGGAAAATCGTGTTTCAGCATTAGAGGTAATTTCTTTCCTCCTATAAGAGGCGGGGAATTATCACATGCTTTGATCAAAAAGGTCACCATTGCATGATAATTATTCTAGGTCAGGTTTAGGAAATGTAACATACACACCCCACTACAGCTTTTCATCTGACCGACCACTGAGATCAAAAACAAATAAAACCTCAGAGGAACTGTTTAAAAAAAGGCCAAAACATTTAACCCACAAATGCTGAAATTATACAATAATAAATGTCTTTCATCCTTACATTATAATTGTTCGTAAGTCATACGTCCCTGGGAAAACCTAATAAAACCAGAAACGGCCACCGATTGGAAGGTTCCCCAGCCCTGCTTTAGATGGAATTCTGAAATGAATTAATGTGAATCTGTCAATGATTTTTAAATGCTTCCACTATGCAGGGTTACCTTAAGACTTTGTTCTGGCAGGCCAGAATGATTTCAAATTGATGTGCGCTACATGTAAAAGTAGCAGCGGTGACATGATCCCGTGGTTTATTGTTGGTTTAAATCACTTTACAGTCATTAAACATGAAGCAAACATTTTCTGTGACTGACTACTGTTTCTGCTTGCGTATTTAATTAAAATGGAACACTCTAAATCGTCCTGAGGTGTGATTGTGAGCACGAATGTTTCTTTGTGTGCCCCGCGATTGACTGACTACCCTGCCTACATCCTGAAGATTGCTGGGATCGTCTCCAAAACATTCGCGACCCGTGTGAGGCTAAGCGGCTCGGATCATGGATGGATGGATGCAAGGCCGATCTTGTTTGCAAGCTTGTATTATCACAAGATGTCAATACATCAATTACAACTTGAGGTTGACTCTGTCGTGGTACTTCAGGTATGGATCGTCCACAAACCAGTTCCTCCTTTTCCAAAATGGTGATGTCATTTTATCTAACAGCCTACACTGTGTTTTATTACAAAAGACGTGCTCCCTCAGTCGCTTTCGTCTGGCAGGTTTCTTCTTCCACAGTTTCTTCTTGTATCCAGCCTGTGTACAGGAGAGGGGGGGAAGCAAGATTAACACCTTTTTTAAAAATAAAAACAACTAGAATCATACCTTGCGTCGAATCCAAAGACCGCAATGCAGCCTCATGAACCGCTGTGTCACAGACTTGACAGTCTTTGTCTTTCCCTTCCTTAAACTGCAGTATGTCAGAGTTCTGCTGGGCTGCTGACTCCCAGCGGGAATAAGAGCCGATACCCTGCAAAAGGGGATTTGAAAACCATTTTCTAGAGAAAAGCGGGAGATATAGATATATAAACAACCATTCACACATTCTGTCACCACCACCTGAAGAATTTTGTTTGGTATTGTTTTCAATAGGGGCCAGCACTTTTTTAATTACCACTATGATGCCAAAATGCATTAAATGTAGTGTTCCGCTGCTGTTTCGGAGAGACAGGTGCCACAAATGGCAAAAATCCTTGAGTAATTATACACTGACCCAAAAGATGTTTACAATTGCCTAGAGTCCATCTTGTGGATGTTTGCCAGCTAAGGCACAGGGATCGTTAGGGTTTCATGTACCTTGAGGTACATCAGGCTAATGGCAACTCTGCATACAAAAGAAGGTGAGGGCAGAGCTGCCAACCTGTATAAATTTTCATAATTTTATTTTAATTCTGCCAGGAAATTGTGATCATGATAACCGTTCCCCGAGTGACTTGTCTGCAAGCAACAGCGGTTCGAGAATTTTTACCTTTGGAGGAGGCCGCACCGGGATAATTGACAGAATGCAGCAGGCGCCGGAGCAAGTTTGGCCGGGTCCGAACCGACATAAAAGGGGTGAGCAGCTTGGATGAAGCCGGACAGCCGAGCCACGTTCGTGGTCCGGGTGCACAGAGACACAGATAGCGGTGACCTAAGCAACCCTGTTCGAGCACAAGGACAGTGTACATACGGGAAAGACAACTCGCTCCGGCAATAAAGCGCAAATTCAATTTCCTTACAAAGATCGGTATTGCCTCACTCACAGTTCAATATATCATAATTAAGTAATATATCACGTGAAATTTATAAGATTTAAGAAGGAAAAACGCATACCCGACAGGGTCCTCGCCAGTAAAGCCGCCATGTTTTCCTCTGATGAAATACGTCACTACTGGGTCCTGTATGGACAAAAGTCAATATGAAGCTACAATGCTACCATCTAGCGGTAGCTCTTGTTTTGCTCGATCACGTCTCTTGCATGGGTGTCAAAACTTTTCGATATCGGGCCATCGATACAAAAAAAGAAAGGATGCAAGGTCTCCACTTTATTACACCCGCTAAAACAAATCAAAAAAGCAATTATGCAGTCAATAATTTATTTTGGTGTATTGGGTTTATATTATTTTATTAATTTTTAGGCTTTTCACAACGCTTGTGACAGGTTGAAGCAATTCTGACTTATGCTGCTGATCTGTGGGAAACTAAAAAATATGAAGCGACAGATGCTCGACAAATGTAGTCTTTTTAATTTGCCTCGATTACAGTAAAATGTGCTCTACGAAAGTTACTGTCTGCCAGTGTGACGGTGCTACACTGGCACTAAGGGGTGCGATAGCCCTGTGAGAAATTTGTGTACTAGCCCCAGTTAAACCTTTCAAGCATGTTATTTGATATTCTGAAATGTATTTTTAATTATTTTCTCAACTCCCCACATGTATCGGTCAAGCCCGCCTTTAGCAACGGGAGAAAAAAATCCTAGTGGCGTGCTTGTAGCTATGCCAGCGATATACAGTACATACAGTACATACAGTATTGTCACAGCCAGGCTGAACAATTCAATGATTTTCGACTAGATGGCAGAAGGTACAATAGACTTGTGTATGCACCTGTTGCCCTTCATACTTGGTACAAGAGAGTGGCTTCCTGCAAATGTATGTTCTTTGCGCTCAATTAAACGGACACAGGTTTCATACTGAGTTAGTATACTGAGATAGGATGACCATTATTCTAATATTTTGTTTGGTGGTGTGCCATGAGATTTTTTTTTAATGCAAAATGGTGTGCTTTGACTCATGATTGGCTGGGGAAATACAGTAATGACCTCGCCACTAAATTCTCGTGGTGCAAATGGTGTGTTCTTGTAACGAACGGGAGTAATGAATATCACGCCGTCGAGGCTTTGACACGATCATGTCGGAATCAATTTTATCAGCAGTCACATGGCATTAAAAAATCTGCCATGAAAAAAACAACACTGCAGTAAAACTGTGTGCTGCCACTGAAATGGTTGCAATTACGAAATCCTTAGTTAATCTGGATCAAATGTATGTGTTTCAAGCATCACATTATCACTTCTCGACATTTTGCAAACATTTTAGATGCAGTTGTTCTGGCCATGAGCCATCCATCAATTCTGTATACTGCTTATCGTCATTAGGGTTGAACCTTGCAGGTGAGTTGGAGCATATCCCAGCTGACTTTGGGCAAGAGGCATGTACAAAGTGAGAAGAATTGATCCTTGATGCATGCTTTTGGAATGTGGGGAAGAAGGCGGAGAAAACCCACACAAGCACAAGGAGCACATGCAAATTCCACAGGAAGGCCGGCCCGAATTCAAACCCCCAAAGTCTGAGCAGTTAGGTGGATGTATTCACTTGTCCACCATATTGCTGCAATATTTTTCAACAACATGAAAGATCACGAAAATATATATTTTGATTAGGCTCCAGATAACGCCCGACCTTCATTAGGACCTTTACCACTGGTAATCCCCCCGACTACATAAAAAGACTTAAATGTTCGGTTGTAAATTATTTATTTTTCTTTAAAACATACAAACATGTATTGAGATGTATTAAAAATGAGCCATCATGTTTCATGTGCTGTCTTTGAGCATCTAGCTGGTGATTGCACCTACAAGTCTACAGACAAACACATGAGTGCAAAAGAAAGCAATTATTTCAATAAAAACTTTTTTTTAAAACTAAGAAATGTTCCCACCAAGTCAGGGCATGCATCTGCTTTTGCAGCATGACGCTCCTAATCCAATAATCTCACTCACAAAAGGACAGTGTTCGACAACTGTGAATGTATCAAACTAGAATGCCTCACACGAGTGCCAACACGTGTTTCAGTAACTTCAGTATGTCCACTTTTGGTTTCTCCTTTTGGTTCACCAGCCAGCATACACAGGCTCTGCATCACAGGGAATTCCATAATAGCGACCTTGAGGCCTCTCTTTGCGTAACAGCGGGGCACGGGACACACTCAGCTCCCCATCGGTGTCTCTCATTTTGCGTGCGACCATTACAATAATGAAGAGTAGAGCCACTAGAAGCGAAAAAGAAAAAAAAAAGATGCAATGAAAATCCATTAAAGGGCTTGATGAACATACTGTACAGTACACATGAAAGTGATTTGGGAATATCAGATGACTGGATGCTTTTATAGAAGATGCCTTCTTGTTACTTTCAGGGTGACTCCTTACCCCCTCCCACGATTACTAATAAAGCAATGGTGACTGGAGCCAGTTCACAGGTGTCTCCCGCTTTGCGAAAGAAAGTCTCCATGCAGTAGCCTGGAGCTGCGCTGCCCTCTGGACAGAAGGCATCGCTGGGACAATGAATGGGGTTCACGTCTGGACTCTGGACACAGGACAAAGCCTTTGAATGAACCTTCATTAATACACATCATTAGGATCACTAGTTCACTTTCTGTGACCGAATTTCTGGGACAGCTGTTGTATTCTCGTTAAAGTGTGCAAGTGGTCATCATATTTTGGTCTGTCTGTGTGTAGTCAATGATTTTGTGGGAATTCCAAAGGGAGAATGAGAAGTACTGACTGGACAGTAGTGGTTTTCTGGGCAGATATCGCAGCTCTCTTGGCCCCAGTTGATCTGGAAGGAGCCACTACTGCAGATCTGACACATTGTCTGATGAGGAGCCTTATGCATGCCTGTCCAAAATCAGAAAATCATGTCAACTATTAAAGCTACCTACTGTCTATACTGGGAAAAAAAAATCAATGGTATTTAGACTTTACACAATTTTATTTCGTCAAGTGGTTGCACAAAGTAATCATCTGGATCCTCTGGATTCCAGATACATTTTTAAGTAGATGTATACTTGGATTAAAATATGTTTCTGTATGCAGATAATTACATTTGACGAAATAAAATTGAGTAAATTCAACAAAACGTTTTTCAATGTATTGAAATGTATTGCAATTCTCATAGACACAACCAAACCTGGTCGACACGGAGTGCAATCTTTTGCTGCAGACTGCAGTGCCTCTGACCCCCCGGGACACGTCTGGCATTGGGAGCAACCAGAGGAGCTTTCAGAGAAAAAGATATTTTGACTGAAGTTTGACTGAATTCTACAGTTGACTGAGCTGTGAGCAGAACTCAAGCCACCTTTCCACGATTCCCAGAGAAGCTACTGCACACTCGAAGCATGTGATGCTCCAAATGATTCTTCAAAGACTGACGCAGGTAGCGAATCTTTACACCGATGAAACCGTAAATGTCTTGCATTTATTTATAAGGCAGGTGTTTCAAGCAAGAGACTTACTTGCAAAAACTCCCTCGTGAACACGGCGCACACGATGTGGAACTGTGCAGGGAGGAGAAGAAACCTGCAAGCAGCACAATCACGCAAATTTCTTCACATTACAGTTCCTCTAATGCATGGGCCAAGGAAGAAATCCTTTGAAAATCCTACATTTGAAGTAGGCGGCTGTCTGTCTAAACAATTTGGTGGTGATCCAAATGAAAAGATTTTGACTTGAGTGAGTAGTGAGTACTGAGTCTCATTCTTGTTAATAAATGATTCACATCAGATATTTGACTGATATCATTTTGAACATTATGAGTGCAAATCTAGATACTGACTGTGCTTTCAATATAATGTTCTAAAGTCCTAATGTCTGTGCACAAAAAAATAGCTAATTAACAGTTCTGTAGTGATTTTAACTATGTGGCTTTTGTTCCAAAAACCCACCTGGAGAGCAACTTGCACAGCTGTCTGCACCAGTGTTGTTGTTGAAGGAACCAGGGGGGCACGGCTGACACAATGGGCTCCCAGTAAAACTGTCATAAAATGAATCAGGACACTTGTATTTATTTAGTTTTCCTTATTATAGTACTTAGGTAAAATTTATCCTAGTGAACTGTGTTTTTATATGAAAAAAGGTAGATTACAGACCGTCTAATCTTTAAAATGAGTATAAATTCTCACGCTCAACAATTCCAGCGAAGCGAAGAATAATGGCGCAATCAAGGGGTAAGCTTGATTCTCTAAAAAATAAAATCCCTTTACATGCCCCCCCCCCCCCTCCCCAAGAATTTGCCCAAAATTGGGTCACGGACCCATTTTGGGTAAATCGTGATCAGCTCGTTAAAACCCTACTGTACATGTATTTTTTTTTTTTTTGTGTTCTCATTTTTTTCGGTGCAAAAGGGAAACTCAGGGTTAATGTGACAATGAAAAACGTCAACCTAAATAATTTTTATTTAGCGGACGCTGTCAGAGAGATTCAAGTCATTTACTCGACTGCTTTGAATAACAGATGTCCTGCTCTGCTTGTTTTGTATCATTGCTCTGGATTGAAAACAAATTGTCAATTGAAAAGAAAGCAAAACCACACCATCATGCTAGTCACCGATGATCTTACTTTGTGTAGAAGCCTCGTCCACAGGGCAGGCACTGCTGTTGTCCAGCCAGTGGCTGGTAAAAGCCAACGGTGCATGGCAGACAAGCTCCAGGAAATAGACACGACCCAGGCTCCGAGCAGCACGCGCAGAGCAGGGTGCCTTGGCATAGAAAGTCAAATAGCATCAATCAGCTCTTTAAAATCCCTCCCAAAAAAAAATAGAGTTAAACTGTTAGACTCACCATTGTCGTACTGCCATCCGGGTGCACAGGGCTCACAGTTGGAAATGTTGAACGCAGAGCAGCTGGGGGTAGTGCTGCTGACAGGAGCAGAAGTTGGCGTCAGAACAGTTGCGTTCTCCACTGGAATGGCGGTGAGGACAGCAGGAGTGGGTGTGGTCTGACTCATCACCATGCCTGCAACACAAATATGCTGGGAGTGTGACTTTGAGTGTGTAAGAGCTTGACTCAACAACACAATCTACTAAATTGGGGGTGTCACTTGTTTTCATCGCCAGCCAGTTTGTTGTCATGGTGGCCCTTAGGGCCGGCCAAACATTTTGAAAAATATATTACAAAAAGTGTATTTGCTAGGGGAGTAATGATAAGCCAAAAATCATAATTTGGTATTCTGCCTTTTTAGGTCCACACTGGGTACAATACACAAGCAACACGCAACAGAAACTTTTTTGTGGAAACAAACACCCGAGCCTTTCTTGAAAATGAAACATCAGCATCTCAAATCTTTTATTTTTAAGAAAGAGCATTAATATTAATTTCCCGGAGAGGCTATTTAAATTCTACTGCAAGTTGTCTGTGTACCACCCAAGTTGATCTCGTTCATTAAAAAAAAACAACCCTAAAACAAAAACACAGTTGTTACACGTTCAGAATGACTTGGCATTGTCTTGCTGAAATAAGAAAAGACGTACATGAAAAAAGATGTCGCTTGAATTGGGGTATATCAATCGTCAAAATGCAAATCCTCCTATCTGACAGAGGTGTCAAATCTAGGTCCAGAATGTAAACCCTGCCAGTTTGTCTTTAGCTACAAGTACTTCTACTCAACCGGCAGGTAAACGAGCATGATCTGCCAAATTCCCAAACACAATAAACAATGGCTTGTGAGTGGCTCGCAACCAGTTCAGGGTGTCCCCCGCCAACTGCCCGAAGACAGCTGGGATAGACTCCAGCACGTCCCGCGACCCTTGTGAGAAGCGGATTGGAAAATGGATGGATGGATGAATAAACTATGGCCCGACTTAAAAATGAAGATGTGCCAGGTGTTACCTTGAGCACATGTGCACCTGTCTACAAAAAGAGGACCCAATAAACAGGTATGACTAAAACGCAGTTTCGTCACATTCTTGTCCGAAACGTGTCGTTTTCAGTTTATAGCTGTATAGCTTTATCTGTGCAAGAAGTGGGGCCAGCAGGTATAATCGAAGCGCATCAGTGAGACAAGAAGGCACATTGTGTGAGTAATCACATTAGCCATGTGCTTGAGTGGGAGCCATCTTCCTCAAGAAAAGCAAAGCAGTTATTCAGAGAGAGGAGGGGATCATGTGATTTGGAGCAGCCAGAACAGGATTGGCAACAATTCCCAAAATATGAATCTATATTCATTATAAACAGAAAGAAATTAGCCAATTTAAAAGAACAACAAAGTATTTCACTTTTCATTGTTTGACTGTTCCTAAGTACAGTATATCATAAGGATGTAAGAAATTATAAAGCATTAAAAAACTTTTCTAACTTAATAATTTACAAAGCAAGAACTTTAACTAAATCAATTGTGGACAAAGCAGTATGGAACTATCATGCCCTGGAAATAGAAACATAAACAATGCAGTACAGTATTGCATTGCACATGTTTACAATTCTTGCATATACAACTCACCAATGAAGCAAAAGGCGGAGATCAGGGGCAGAGGTGCCCAGCGGTCCATCCTCCCCCTCTTGATGGTCCACAACTCTTCTCCTCTTCAAAGTTCATCTAAAGCATCATCTGCCCCCTAACAAATCACTGACATCTGTTTTTTTTCCCCTAGTGAAGCTCGATTGAGGTGGGAGTAGTCGTCTCATTGGCGTCATATGACAAAATACACATCATGTGATTTTGCTTTAGAAGGGAAAAAAAGGGGAGGAGAACCGGTTGAATGTTTTTTTTTTCCACTAGGCTTCCAGAAGGAGCGCTAATGTGCAAGATAAATCCATTAGAGGCGCCTTCGCAACACCTCATTCTTTCTCAGCAGTTGGACGATCATCTAAGAATATTCAAGATCTCATTCGATCCAAAGAACACATACAGGCGTGATTTATTTTGTGTGGGAAACATGACGCATGGATGATGGTGAAACAAGTGGTGACAAACTTTCTGTTTAAGGTTAAGCAATCCTGATACAAACCCATTAAATAGCCCTACTGTTTTTCTCAGAGCACTCAGAATGCTTCATCTTCCATTGTAAATGACATGTGCAAAATGTAGATGGCCGTGTTTGCTGAGGTATTTTAAAAGTTCTTGTTTTGTTGGTTCATTGCAAACTACTTGGAAGTTTGTCAAGGTTGCAAATGAATCAGATTTACATTGGGGGTTGAATGTACAGGTGCTTCTCAATCAAATCAGAATACTGTGGAAAACTTAATATATTTCAATAGTTCAATTTAGAAAAGTATAGCTCATCTATAGTCAACACAGAGGACTATATGAGATGACTGTATAATTTTGCTGAATGAATTTTACAGCTAAAGAAAACCTTTAAAATAGAAATTTGGTAGGATTTTGCCTCACGAAAAGTCTTTTACTATGCGTTTAATGTGTCACACATTAGCACAGTAATAAACACTTGAAAATTGATAACTTGAACAGTAGAAATAGTCAGAAACAGTTTATTTTATTTTATTTTTTAAGTGGCTTCTTATGCAGTAACTAGTGTGATAAGGCTCTATACCATGGGTGTCAAACTCATTTTTGTCGTGGGCCACATTATAATTACCAATTCTCTTGGAGGGCCGTGAATACCGAAACTATATAAAGAAGTCAAGAATAATGTTTGATTCAACAATTGTTAAAGTAACTGTTATGAGAGGTTTGGTCACAAGAAAATGCGAACAATATGTCACTGATTTATTACATATGAAAATGTGAACTTTTGCTACAGATTTTAGCAAGCATCATGGAAGTTGTCATCTTTGATTTGCTTTCGCGGGCCACTCAAAATGATGTGGTGCGCCACATCTGGCCCCCGGGCCTTGAGTTTGACACCTGTGCTCTATACATATAAAATTCAGTTGAATACATTTCTTGAGTAACCTCCTCTCTGACAATTAACATGAGGGTCTTTCCTCTGGATGTACTGCTCTAAGCACTGCTCCAAGTCCTCCCAATTTATTTTCTTCAATCCATCCTTTCAAAACATAACAAAGACAAAAAAAAGGTATGATTTGATGTGACCATGATAATCTTAACACCAACACCAAGCAATGACAAGACCTCATTTATTATTGTGGATTTCACACTCACTTTGCTGTGGGTCTCTATTATTCCATCGGGGTGTGTTGCTGCCTGGTTGGATGGTTTGGCCTTGTTGCTGTCATTTCTCTTCAGTTTTTGATAGTCCTTCTTCACCTCTTCAATCTTCTTTTGCAAAGCCAAAACCTTTTTGTTCTGTACTACCGTCTTCTGCAATTGCAGCTCGGCTTTCTTTTCTTCTTCTTTCCTGCAGCACACCAAATGTGCCTTGTTTCCATCAACAAGCCATTTATTTACTCAACCGCAGAGAGCACGAAGCGTTTATATATTTTATTTTGTGTTTATCATTTTTTTTTAACTGATATTACATCTATTCCCATAATCAAGAAGCAATCATAAAAATAAAACTGTCAGTAGAACCTGAAAGTATAGTACAAGAGTGTAATGAGCCGTCGGAAAAAAATATCAGCCCTCTCTGGCACCTCTAATTTGATTTTGATCATCGCACCTGAGGAAAAACAACAAATCAGAGACAGCACTAACTAGTTACCTTGGGCTTCAAGAGCTTGGCTGAAACTATGGCGGAAAATCCACCTTTGAGTGGAGCCGCGCCGAACATATTTTTGACAAGAACATTTTTGACCTGACTTCTCCTTTAAGGACGGGATCAGTCAAAGCGTCACATTTAGCTGACCTGAGCAAAGTGGCCATTGCCATGGCTCTGCTGTGGAGGTTGATATTCTCCATGTCCTCCAACAGTAGTTTCTTCTTCTTCTGCTTCTCCCTCTGGATGTAGTCTCGTTTCTTCTGCTGCTCAATCACCGCTGCTTCTTTCATGAGGAAGAGACGCTCCTTCAGCTCGGCGTGAGACATCTCAACCAGCAGCTCATGACCTGCAATCTGACACGAGAGGTCAACTGTGACACGTTTAGAATCAATCTTCGCTCTGACTTACCTCTGTGTTATCAAACATGTTGCAACGAACGTGAGGGAAGCATTCCATGGCGTGGATTTCACTGATGATTTCCAACTTCTTGGTAAGCGCTACCTTTGCTTCTTCTTGTGCTTGGCGAACAATCTCTTGATTGTGTGCGACAAAATCTTTGACTATGGTGTCGCAATAAGAAGGATCCGTTACGAGCGGAAATCAGGAATAAATGGTGTGACGTGAAAGTGCGTACCAGAACTCTGCTTGAATTTCTTCACCCTCTCTGTAGCTCTTTGTGAGTTGCTGTGACTCTCTGCCACTTGTTGCACTAAGTCTTTCTTTTCTTTTTCTTCTTCCAACCTTTTCTGGGCATTTTGCTGAGTCCGCTTAACTGTCTGCAAGAAGAGAAAAATGTTCACTGCAAAATTCGAATCCACTATTTTTTTTTACCTTTACTGACCAAGTATTTTACATTAGAAAAATCACACTGCACGTACAAACAAAAAATATGATTAGATGTATCTAATTTAAATCTCAATTGACTCAAATATGGATTTATGCCAGTGTGAAATCTGGGCCTGTTTATATACAATGCAATAATTCTGTTATCTGAATGCCAACACGCCAATACAAAGATATATGTACCTTCTTCCATCTTGTTAAAGAGAGTTCAATAGTTCTACATGTCATGATACATCGCTAGTACATAAATGAAAAAAAAAATACACATTATTTTTTTTCCCCATTCTTTAACAAAAAAGCCTCAATGGTTTTGCTTCAGCCACGTGTACAATGAAAAGAACACCGTACTTATGCTATGAAAAACACAGTGGGCTCAGTTATGTTCCAGGACACCTTTGATGAATCTGGCACAATGTTTGAAAACTGTGGATGGTATAATGAAATTTCAGGACTAGCAAGATAATCTGGCGTGAAATGTTGCTGCCCAGTGTCCGAAAGCTTGGTTGCAGTTGCATGTCATGGTTCCTCCAACAGCATAAAGACCCAATCCCACGGCTAATAAAAAGTAGTACGTTTTTATTCCCCTTTGACAGTGTGTATTGCTGTTCTTCGACTGCTTGTTTACCCACCTCATCTCTTTTGACCCGGGCAGCCTTCTTGTTACGTTCTAATGTTTGCGCGCGGGCCAAAACGGCCTCCCAATGGCTGAGAATGACACTGGCATGCTTCTGCTCAATCTTTGCCAATGTCTCCTGATGGTCTTTCTCTCGCATTTCCCTCTCCTTCTGTAGAAAAACTGAAGGCTCATTTGCCCCTTCCACCAGATTCTCTATTCTATATAAATCAATATAAATACATAGTTATTCCTGACAAAAATCGAATATTGGATTAAATAATACGTGAGACAACTGGTATGATATGATGTTGCGCTTAATTCATCTAGCGATAACCCGTGTTCCCAACTCACCTCTGCAGCTTATCCTCCACGTGACGGTCATGTAGCACTCGCCGCCTCAGCATCGCTGCCGTATTGAGTTTGACAGGGTGGGCGTCCTGAGAAGGTGGGAAATGTGTGAAGCTAATTAATATTGCACTGAATCCTTGCACAAAGATTCAAAAATGCTGAAAAACTATGAAAAATGACAACCAACTTCTCACCTGAGTAATGGGAGGGGGAGGTGGCTTTGTATGAAATGAGTCGAATCGCAGTGTTGAGTCCAAACCTTCTGTTAACTGGTACATCAGTCGCTGCATTGCACACGTACATATTGAGAATGATCAATAATGCAAAAAAAGCATTGAGAGTTCAAGAATACTTTTACTGTCATTGAATGGACATATATTTTATAATATTCCCAGCATGGAAATGGGTCCATACCTGTGTGCATTCAGTTTTTCTCGGCCTTGCAAATCCAAACTGTTTTGTATTAACCTCATGCAGCAGCTCCTTCAGCCAACCACAGACAGGATGTCAGTACAATTAATGAATGAGTGCCTTAAATGTATCTATAGTTTATACATTTTTAGTTGTTGTACCTCAGCCATTTGATGGTTCCTTTGCTTTATTTCTTCTAAGATCTGGATCAATTTTGGAGTCCTGTAAGTGCTGCTGGGTACCTGCATGGAACATAGATCACAAAATATCACTATGAAACTCAGTAACACATCCTAGTTGGTTTATAGAAAATGTACATGTGCTATGCAGCCATGGAAGTTTACACAAATTAAATTGTATTAATAACTACAAATGGGGTTGACTTGTTTGTGTTTGTCCGGCAGAGGGCTGAGTTGAGGCTGACGTGAAGATGATGGTTTTTGTTTGACAAAGGAGAACTCCATAAGGTCCGTAGTTTTGGGTGGAGCTTTCCGTAACCGCATCCCTTCAGACACTTTGGCAGCAAGCTTCTCCATGAGTGACTCAATCTCAGAGCGCTTCCTACAGAAAAAAAAAAAAAGTTATAAACAATTTTGCCTTTAATGCCTTGAAACATTCCCAAAATGTTTTCACTGATTCCTTTTATCACCTGAGCAGAGGGTCAATCCAGTGGTCTTTCACATAAGCAACATCATAGACACGATTCCACTCATCTTGTATCCAAGTGGTGAGGTTCATAAAGAAGAAACTCAGGAACTAAAATCAAGGACATTACAAAATAACCCACTGTACACAATGGGCTGCGCCGGATTATCATTTCAATGCAATTATTCTTACGTTGTGCATGCTTTTAATATCCAGAGATCTGACAATGTTGCTGAAAGCCTTAAGTCCAAGGTCATCAAAGTGGAATATGGTGAGATAACAGATGACTACAAACAACATAAATATACCAACAATAAGGTTTTTTTTATATATATTTCAAACTGTAAAAAATAAATGCATACTTGTTTAGAAAACTTACCAACAAAGTGGTTGTGATAACGTTTGGATATAAGTTTGCCACCCTGGCCAAAGAAAGGATTGATGACTATGTCCAGTAACTTCTTGTACTCGATGCATCCGGAGACGAGATCAAGAATGTATTTCATAGAATCAGGTTCCATGTCCTATCAAACGTATCCAGCAAAAATGATATCAATAGCTCAATAGTGTTACAGCCTTTTTGTACTTCATGTTTATGAGTTTGTTTATGGCAGCCACGATTAATGACGATGTGTTGTTGTTACTTGATTGCAGTATCATATTTCTTTACCTGGAGATCCTTAGCTGCCTCTTCCATAAAGTCATCCAAACTCATTCTCCCTGCAGTGAACTTGTCAAGGAGCAAAATTGCCTCCTTGACAAGTTCTCCATAGCTTTTCGCCATTTCACATAATCAGCACAGCATCAACACAAACTTGTGATGAATTCCTCAACAGTTAGAACGGCAAACAATGTCGAAACATATATATTTCACATGACACACGTAACGACGAAACGAAATAAAAATTGTGGGTCATATTACGTATTAATTGTGACGTATTCGTAAAACTTTGCGCTGGTTTCGTGTTCAATTAGAAATTCTACTCGCCATCCCTAATGTTTGAACATTTGTTACAGTCGGGGCAACATAAAAATTTCAAACGGAGTATAAGTGTTTGCCAATGTCAAAACTGTTGGGGTTTTGTTTTTTTTTTTGTTGAATGATCCGGAGCGCAGGGGCTGGACGCCATCGTAACAGCACCACGCGAATGCATCATCATCAAGACATTAGAAAGTTGGACGTGCATGTCGTCAACTATACAAGTGCCCGGTCGGCAGTGGTTTTAGACAGGTAGAAGCAGTAAAGATAAGAATGCGTCATTATGAACAATAAAATCTAACATGAACAATAAAATCTAACAGCTATGTTGAGAGACGTTTTAGGACAACTGTACATCGTGCGCATCCAATCGACGAGTTAGCAGACAGTTCCGTCTGAAGGTAAATGCTTCCAAAACAGATTTTCTTGGTCATATTTTCGGCACGGCGGTCGACTGTTTTGCACGTCGGCCTCACAGCGCAGAGGTGCAGGGTTCGATTCTGGCTGCGACCTTCCTGTGTGGAGTTTGCATGTTCTCTCCGTGCCTGCGTTTCCTCCCAAAAAACATGCATGGTGGGTGAACGGAACACTCTAAATGGGCTCTAAGTGTGATTGTGAGTGCGAATGGTTGTGTTCCCTGCAAGTAGCCGGCAACCAGTTGAGCGTGTATCCCGCCTCCTTGTCAGGTTCTGAAACGAACCGAATAATGGTTTGCATTCCAGAAATACAAGGTCAAACAAAGAGCCATAACAAAAATATTTTTTTACAGAAAAGCGACCCGACAAAGTACAAACTGAGTACAAGGAGCCACTATTGTAGTTAAATTATTTTTATTTTCAGGTGACTGTGGTTCATTTACTGTCCAGTACTATTGTATGTTTATATTCATAAAATGACACAAGGCACAATAACACAGTGTGTAATCCTTTCACTGCCAACGTTCACAGTTACAATGCATTGACACCTATATGCATCAATAGCAGTGAATCATTTTAATGACAATAGAATTTAGCTCACTTTCTTCATCAAATCCATAGGAACACAAAACATCCAGTCGTTACATTTCCATCTTCCTTTCCCAGTTGTGAATGATGACCACAGAGCATATACGGTTTGTTGTGTATGTTCATTGAACAGACCAGAGGGAAAAAAGAAGACTGAGATGTCAGTTGGAGGGCGACACTTTTCAAAGTAGAAAAAAAAATCTGTCCAACCTGAAGGCTTTGAGAATGAATTAGTCTAGGTTGGAGCTGAAGACCCAAATACTGAATTTGCATTTTACACACATTTTACTTTTTGATTATTTTTCTCTGAGATACATCTTGAGACCCTTTCCTCTCGATGTATTCTTCTAAACTCTGCTCCATATCCTCCCAGTGTACCTCCTTCAATCTAGCCTAGCAAAACAAGACACACAAAAACAATCAGAAGATCGTAGGAAACAACGAGAACTAGCCATTTGCTGATGGGGATGTTTTATACTCACTTTCCTGTGGATCTTGGTGTTTTTAAGAGTGTTTGCTGCTGCCTGCTTTGATGGTTTGGCCTCATGGCTTAGATTTTTCTTCATTTTTTGATATTCTTGCTTTTTTTCTTCCAACTTCTTTTGTAGTGCTACGACTGTCTCCTCTCGAGTCTGCTGCAATCTGAGCTTGGCTTCTCTTTCTTCTTCTTTTCTGGAAAATAACAAAACTACACTTTATGCATACATCTCTAGTAGTGGCCATTCTGTATGTCCATGTCTTAGTGTGTCCACTTTTCCTCAAAATCAGTCTTTTTAAGTGGGGTGGCTCAGTCAAAGCGTCACAGTTGGCTGACCTGAGGGTTGCGGCCATTTCCGTGACTTTACTGTGGAGGTTGATGTTGTCTATTTCCTCCAAAAGTAGCTGGTGCTTTTTTTGTTTCTCCTCGAGGATGCAGTCTCGTTTCTTCTGCTGCTCAATCATGTTTGATTCCCTCATGAAGAACAGACGCTCCTTCAGCTCGGCGTGGGACATCTCATCAAGTAGCTCATGACCTGCAATCTGATACAAGAGGTGACCTGTGACACATGATCGACTTTGATTACATTTTTAGCCTGTTTCACAAAGAAATCCTACAAAATTACCACAATGCAGTTGTAATGAATCATCGTGCATTTACTCTACCCGGCTGTACCTTTACAACCCCTCCTGCCCCCAAAATATGATTGCCAGGTGCCAGGTCAGATAAGTGACTTTTGTTTATTTTCCATTTTTTCTGGAATCTTTTCAGAATTACCATATTTTCCATAGGGAACGTATAATGGATGTTTATCTGCATTTTCCGTAGAATTTTAATGTTTGTTAAATAATTTTTGGGGTGTGGGTGGGAGATTACTCAAAGGGCCTGAGATAGCCCATCCCAAGGGTGTAAAAGTCTAGCTCTGCCACTGCTCACACTCACCTCTGTGTCATCAAAATATTTGAGCCGAACGACAGGACAGTATTCAATCGTGTGGAGTTCACTGATGGCTTTAGACTTCCTGTCAAGCTCTGCTTGTGCCTCCTCTTGGGCTTGACGAAGGAGCTCTTGACAATGCTCTGAGACTTGCTTCACTGTTGTGAGGGAATAAAATAGGTTGTCTTGAATAGGAAATACTATTCAATTGATCAATGTGCTTTGCACTTTATGTGAAGGTGCTTACCAACAGTTCGCTTGAATTTCTTCACATTCTCTTTTGCTTTTTGGGGGTTCTTCTTACAGTTCTCTGACACTTGCTGAACCAGGTCTTTCTTTTCATTTATCTCTTGCATTCTTTTCTGTGCAGTTTTCAGTTTCATTTGAGACGCCTGCAAGAAAGCCATGAGAACAGAGATGGAAACATTGACAATATAAAAGCATCGTGTAATCTTGAATCTTTTGTGATGTACATCCACCTCTTCTTTTTTGAGTCGAGCAGCCTTCTTTTTACTCTCTGTTCCTTTTGTGCGGTTCATTGCAATCTCAAGACGATTGATTAGTGTGTCCGCGTGCCTCTGATCACTCATTGCGGCCTTCTCTTGATGGTCTTTGTCACGCATTTCTTTTTGCCACTGAAGAAAATAAAGTGACTCATAACCCCCTTCCACCAGATTCTCTATTCTGCCAACAAAGAGAGAAAGAAGTATGTATTTTTTTGTAATTAATATAATGAATAAAATGTTTTATCATTGTACTGTTGCCTTGGAATGTGCGACGTAAATCCAGTTTAAAAGCCTTTTTTCCAACCCTTTTTCAAACTTTTTTTCCAGCTTTTGTGGAGTTCATTGTATGAAAATGAATGTAAATATCTGTTTCTCTATTAGCGGCCTGGTTGATATGACAGCATGTGCCCAGCCTCTTGCTCAAAGTCAGCTGGGATAGGCAACAGCTCGACTGTAACTCTGATGACGACGTGTAACGTAAAAAAATATGAGGTGTGGGTTACGGAGTTGTTTTTGTTCAAGTTTACCACTCATCCCGCAGTTCTTGAGGCACGGCATGTTTTTGAGTTGAGGTCTTGATTAGAAGTGTATTGTTTTTAATAGGTTAATTTGGTACTGGATATCAGTAAAGGCAAAGCTTTGTTTTTTATTGTGATGTTTACTTCGTTTGTAACCACATTAGCAACTATGCTTGATCCAAACAAATCAAATCATAACCATGGGAAGTTGGAGGGGAAAAAAATGCCTACCGCTGAAGCTCTTCCTCCACTTTGCGGTTATATAGCGCCCTCTGTCGTAGGATTGTGGCACTGTTGAGTTTCACAGGCCACGTTTTCTAACACAAGTGTACAAAGTAGAGAAAATTAATATTCATTATTTAGATTTTTAACCACTAATGCAGCCATTCCCAGTTCTCACCTTATTATTTGGAGAAGGCTGACTTTTAAAAACTGAATTGAACTTGAGTTTCAACTCTAGCTCTTCTTTTATCTTGGCCATCACCTTCTGCATTAAACATTTGAATGTAAGTTATACTCGGTAGTTCCACACACACACAAACTTCTGAAATCAGAAGCTAGTCCATACCTTTGTCTGTTCCGACTTTTGTGGTCTTGCACATTTGAATGCTGTCAAATTAGCCTCATGCAGCTGCTCCTTTATTGACAAGCAAAACAGATGTCAAGACAATATGTGTCAAAGACTGAATACATTCTCATGATAATATCAAAATGTATATTACCTCTGTCATTTGATGGTTCCTTTGCTTGAGTTCATCTAATATCTGAACCTCTTTTGGAATTGTGTATGTGCTGTTTGGTACCTATAAAAGTCACAGGACTGGTTAGCACATCACAAAGTCGTCAATGTGAAATTCAAAAAACTGTTTTAATTGTTATTATAAAAACCCACAAGTGAATACAGTGAATTCAGTCATACACTTCTTACTGGTATGTATTTTTCTGGCACAGAGCTGGGCTCAGAGTGAGGTCGAGGTGGTGGTTTGCGATTATAAAAAGAGAACTCTGCAGGCTCAGTGGTTCTGGATGGAGTCTTCGGCATATCACCAGCTCCAAGCTTCTTTATGAACATCTCAATCATGGAGCGCCTCCTAAATGACAAAATACTTTGGAAAATGGCCTAAATATTTTTGATTAAAAGTTTTTATTGACTGCTTTTAGCACCTCAGCAGTGGATCAATCCAGTGATCCTTCACATATGGAGCATCATAGATGCTATTCAACTTATCTTCTATCCAAGTGGTGAGGTTTCTAAAGAAGAAATTGAGGAACTACAAACACAGTAGATGTTACAAAATACACATCGGTGATTGGATGTAGCTCTGCTATCATATTCTTACATTGTGCATGTTCTCATCATTGTTCAGAGATCTGACAATGTTGTTGAAAGCCTGAAGTCCAAGGTCATCAAAGTGGAATATAGTTAGATAACAGATCACTGAAGGCAACACACACACACACACAC